AAGATCAAGCTGCTAATGAAAATATCAAGAGGAAACTCTTTGGGTTGGGTTAGGCCATGTGATTTAAGGCCAAACCAATATTAATTATGGTGTAATTTCTCGAACTCTTCTCTTTTATATTTGTACAATTTATCTTTTGCACTTAATTTTTTGTCTCATATTCTTTCTTAAAACTTACCAACCTTAAAGTTTTAAGAAAGAATATGATACAAAGTTAACTATAGGTACCATGTGTTAAAGGTGATGATAGCCATGGCATTTCAATACCTGAAGATGAATATAAGTTAGGTGCTTAAGCTTGTAAGCACAACCTTCATAGCAGAGTTATCTGGTGTAAGGAAACTACCCCTCTTATAGTAGTTAACTTAAAACTCAAGTTAGATGAGTTGTGGATATCTATTGAAAAATGAGACATCACTTCCTTAAGTAAAAGGATATTTGAGTTTTCCTTCTCGTCCTTGAAAGATGTGCAAAGAGATTGATCTGTTAGTGCCTAGAACTTCAACCATGATGTCTTGACATTGTTTCCTTGGACAGGGGACTTTGTCCCATATACACTTAAACAAACCTAAAAATAAGTTTGGCTAAGGATTCATGGCTTATCACATGAATATTAGAGGATGAAGGTGCTAATAAAGAAGACTTGTCAAAGAAGAAACAGAAAGAGGTGTTTGACTGTATATTGGAAACTTGTCGAGTGGTGAAGCTAATGAAGAATAAATCTAGCATTTTTATCACTAGAAAAGGAACAAACATTGAAGTTTTAGAATTAAATGATTGTTCTGATAAAGTGAATTTGTGGATGCTACTCAAATAGAGGAAAAAGTGCCTAATTCACAAGAATTGGTTGAAAATTCAAAGGTGCAAGACTTGGAAAATATTGACTAATATAGATGAGTTGGTTGAAGAGGTACACCAAATGTATGAGAGCTCTCCAAGCAAAGTAAAGTTAATACTAATGTATCCAAATATTTTTCCATGAAGTGTCTCTTTTAGAACATTAGAGTCATAACTAATGGCCCGGAAAATAATGGTTGTTACAAACAAATCTGAATTAGTTTTAATAGTTGAACCTTGGATGAACTTCAGCAAATTTCTCAAACATTGGCTAAACCAATTTAATTTAATGCTTTTTGCCATGAATAACATACCTAGTCTTCTTCCAAATCTTGTGTTTTTGAAACCTTCACTTGGATCCTGATATTGTCTATTTTGATGATCAACGTGTATCATTTATCATTAATAATCAAAAATAAACTTTTTGACTTTTTTATTGTTTATGGTTCCACTAACTACATGAACATGAGTCCTTTTGGGATAGATTAAGTTCCAACACTTCAACTACTACTTAGAGATTCATATGAGATATTAATAAAATCATAGGAGTTGCTGAGTGTGTTCCTTACATAATGATTGTCATGGTATAATTTACCAAGCTTTAAAAACTAAGTTGGTTGGTTAATGTATATCTTGGATAATAAGTCTAGATTCTAAAATGTAAGCTTAAGGATTGGAATAATAATATTTTGGTCTTGTTCAAGACAATGTTTTTCAAGCTAAAATTGAACTGAAATATATTCAAAGAGACATTGAGATTTAAGGACAAACTGAGTTTCTTCATGAACGAAAGAAGATGCTCAAACCCAAGCGTACATAGCCTTTTATTTGAAGGAATCCTTTTGGAAAGACAAATTTAGGATAAATTGTGTGGAAAATGGAAATATGTGCTTGCGGGTTTAATTATGAAATGATCAAAGCTAAGCAAGACATTCCTATCATAGTTTTGACGTTGACAACTTGTGAATATGTAACTCAAGTGTGATAGAAACAAATCATTAATACAAGCTGTTAGAACACAGATTGATGTTTTTTATATCTCTATGTTTTGATGATAACTCTTATGGAATTTTGTATTAAGAAAATATATACTCTAAATTTGTTCAAGTATTATTGTTTCAGGTATTAAATTGAATACTCTTAAAGAAGCAAAATACATAAGTACAAGCAACTACGCAAGGCTCTGAAGCATCAGATGCAAGACTATCAGAAGACTCTGAAGCGCTGCCAGAAGAATCTGAAGCAGAAGCTGCAGAATGATCTGAAGCGTTTCTGAAAGAATTGTATAAAGAGTTGAAAGCTTTGATCAAATCAGACTCTGAAGTTCATTTCGCTGCAAGAACAAAGGCTCTGATAATCAGACTCTAATCAAATAATATTCACGCTCAAGCACATACTGCTGCATACTCTGATGAAAACTCTGATCAAGATTGAGACTCTGATATATCAAGTTCTGATCATCTATCAAAACTCTGATCATATCAAACATTTAGCTCTGATCATCTCAAGTATTTGATTCCTTTTAAGCTTGTTACAAGTTCTGAAGTGCAGATTATGAAGACTTCATCCTGAAGGAAGCTTGTTGAAGAAGCTGTAAACTTGATTGGACGTGGTGCTACTTGCAAAGTAACCAACTGCTATTTTGTCCAAAGAAGAGACATGGTGCTAATCCCAAAGCTTCTACAACCATACTTTTCCTGTAAAAAGCATGTCTCTGCCCATACCTTTTGGTTATGAAAAGTCTTATATTTCAATATAATACTCAGCTGCACATTATTCAAAGCACTTGGAAAAAGCTATAAAAGGATAACTTCTACAACATCTAGAAGTTGCTCAATCAGAAAAAAAAAACATTGATACACACGCTTGAAGCATCAAAGTGAAAATCTCTCAAAGCCCTTATACATTTGTTCTTTCATAAAACTGTATATTTTTATTTGTACTTAATCTTAAGTGTAAATATCACAGTTGTGATACAGCTTATTAGAAGCATTTAAACACTTGTTTAGTTTACATTAATTTGTAAGAAGTTCCTTGAGAAGACCAAGGTGTGGTCAGTAGTTCTTGAGAATATTAAGACAATTGCTCTTAGTGCTTGCTATTGTAATCAGTTGATTAATAGTGGATTAAGTCCTTGTGGAGAAAGGCAAATCATCTTTGATAAGGTGGATTGGAGTAGTTGAATTCAATGAACCAGGATAAAAATCTTGAGTTGTTTTTATTGCCATATTATTTAAAACTCTTATTCAACCCCCCCCCCCCCTTCCCTTCTAAGTGTTTTTCTCACCTTCACAAGCAACTGACAAAATTATTTTAAGCGGTCAAAGATGCATAAGATAGTTTGATAAAAAATAATTGATTATTAGATCATCCAATCGATTGGAATAAGAACCTAATCGATTGGAAAATTAATTTTGCCCATGAATAATTTTCTTTTTTGAATCAATCTTTGGCCTATAAAGAGAGACTTTTCCCCCTCATTTTTTCACATCCACAAACGTGCAATTTCTCACCTTCCTCACCCTCCTCCTCTCAAAATTTCTTGTTACTTTCTCTCACATAAATGTAGTCATAACACTTTAATAAAGGTTCTTATGTTTAAGTGAGGAAATAGTTATGGAAAGGATAAAACTGCTTCAAGATTTCTTTTTCATCTTGATTGAATCTTTCTTTCTTAGGAAGTGTTTGTTTGGGTTTGAAATTAAACCCGTTAATAGCTTTGGTTGGGAGAGTTGACATTAAGTTTCTGTTTGGTTCATGAGTTGACCCCATTAAGGAAAAACTCTCTTTATGGATTCTTGAAGATAACCAATGAAAAATCTTCTCACCAATTTTTGAGCTCAGATTGATTAAAAGCTCGGTTGGTTCGAGACCAATCTGGTGTAAAATCTTGGTTCGGTTCGTGGTCATCCCGTGTAAAACCTTAGTTCAGTTAAGAGGATAGACAATTCAAAAGTCCGATTTGGTTCGAGATAAACTTGTATAAAATCTCAATTTATCTTGGGGAGTAATTAACCGTTTATATATTTGTTCGTTTGTAAAAAGGACTAACCAATTCATTCCATTGTTTGCTATTTGGTTGGATTTAACCTAAAATTTTATTTTTTTTTCTTATATAAAGTGATTCATGACCTTAACCTTCTAAAATCTCATAAATTTTATTGAATACTTTCAAAATCAATTCTTGAAGAGAGGAGTATGTCACTTTATTTAAACCGAACCTTTACAAATCTTCGGTGTCATATCTTTTCTATTATCTTGTACTTTTCGCATATTCTTTTACTCTGATTTTCCGCTGCAATATTCAAATAATTTCTTGAAAATGTTCTTGAGCTTTAATTTAGAAAACAATTGGTCTTAAATAAATGTTTTTCAACCTCCACAATACACTGGTGTGTGAAGTCATATCAGGGCCGGCCTTAGTTTTAATTAATTTTAAAAAATATCTATTTTTTAAATTTATTTTTATGTAAATTAAATAATAAAACATATTTAAAATATATAATAAAACCGACTGTTTATTATGTATATAGTATGATTGGTTAATTTAAAAACCACACTTATCGAATAAAGTTCTATGTTTTTTTACATAATATAATACTTGATTTTTATTGTTTTTTTTAGGAATTTTGACAATATATTTTCTATTATAATTTTTTTAAATGATGAAAAGAATGTTTATTTGAGTTAATTTTATTATCAATTAAAAATAAAATGTTAAATAGAATTAATTATAATAATATAATAATTTAACATTCTAAACAAATAAAAAATAAAAAATACTTTAATTTAAAAAAATCATATTTACTATATAAAAAATGTTTAATCTAAAATTTTGTCTTAAGCCTCAAAATTTGTTGGCCCAACCTGAGTCATATGTTGAACAAATTAGAGTACTGATGGAGACAGAAATATAAAGTTATTTCACGTATATGCTAACATGATTATACTGATAAACTTGCTAACATGATTTCAATTCTAGAAAATTACTTAACTTCAGCATGTGTATGAGAGCATTTCTAGAAATTTCTTGCATGACAAGTTATGAATATCTAGGCTTTGATAAAACTTAGATTATCTTCAGTATCTCATAACAAATTAGAGTAAGTGTTTTTGACAAGAAAACAAGAATATTAAACCTTATAATTCAAACAGCATATTCACTAAAAGTTCTTTAAATTCATCAAATCTTTTTCAGCTCTAAATTCTTGTGTGGTTATTTCTTCTTGTGAGCTCATAATAGGTAAGAAGCCTGCTTGTGTACCATCGCTGTCGCCTTCAATTTCTCCATCAAGGCTTAATCCTTCAATTAATCTTGAACCCACAGAATCTCCTAGAGATCCCACATCTACTTTGAAAGTAAAAAAAAAAAACTATTTTTTATATTAATGAGTTTTAAACATGCAAAAAAACTATAGCAATAGACAGTGAAAAAATATATATAATTCACCTGGACTTGAACAGATCCAAAGAATGACAGCACAAAGAAGCAAAACAAAAGGGATAGCATGCACTGCATTCTCAGAGAATTTAACACGTGCTTTCTCCCTCTTAGCCAACTCTACAATAGGATCATATGTAGGCAAATTATTACTAGATAATCTATGTGCTGAAGAGAGTGATGAAGAACTACTGCTTGCTGCATGTTGGAAATAATCCTCAGAGAATCTGTTCCAGCTTACAGATCTATACATTATTAATTACTTATATATTTTTTGATGTTAATTTGGAAGACAGAAAAAAATTAGGAATGAGTATAAAATGTTTTGCATCCTTGTGATCAAAATCAAAATCAAATTATTTTTAGAAAAAAGTCTTCACGAAAATAAAGGCTATTTCTTTGAGTTCGGCAATCTTTCCTCACATTTTCACGCATCCTCTTACCAATTCAATTATTATAATTTCTTAATTTCTTGTGTCTTTCAAACAAAATAATGTAAAATTGTTAAGAATAATATTAGTGCAGAAAAGAGTAATTTATTAATACAAGGACAAGGAATAAACATGCACACATCAATCCAATGTAAAATACAAGGACAAACTTCTATAGCCAACATTATAGGTATATACGATGGACTCGCTCTTAAAGTTGTATTCATCTTTTATTTAAAAATAAAATAATTAAAAAAAATAAAAGAAAAATAGATTTTATTAGGTTTATTTTATTTGGGCCAAATTCGTTTAACATCTATTTAAAAAGATTTTTTAATCCTAAAACAACACAACAAATAAACAATTTACAATGGTTTTAGAGAAGAGTGTTATGCCTCAATTTTGTCTTAGCATTTTAAACTTTTGTACATTTGACTTTACTTTACTTTGAATCATTAGCATAACATAATATGTCTTTCATCACGCATAATGCTTAAAATGTCGATCAGAATAAATTTTCGGATATTCAGACAGATTGGTTAAATTAGTTCTCAGATGTACGAAAAATTATTGGGCGAAAAATTTCCAAATCGAGCTTGCAGACGTTAGTATTATTGATCTATGGTTCACATAGTTTAATTTAACGTGCTCGTTTTATTTTTTCGACTACTTTTTCGGTCGCACTTTTATCAGCATGAGGTTTCTCAACCGATATTTTTTGACCTTAAAATTTGATCAAAATATATATGTTTTCTAGAATTTTATTTTACGTTGATCATTTTAGTGCATTCGTTGTAATTTTTCAAACACTTTTGCGCCTGATTATTATTCATTTTACTCCCTTTTATTTTTATTCTTTTGTCAATTGTTCACAAAAAATAATTAGAGTTTATTATGTTTTATTTTTATTTTATTGTGGTTGTTTTAAAATGTGTAAATTTTTAATTATTTTAATTGATTTAATTGATTTTAATCTCATAAAGTATCTAGAAGTGGCATTCTGGGCAATGTGGTTGTTTTAAAATGTGTGAATTTTTAATTATTTTAATTGATTTAATTGATTTTAATCTCATAAAGTATCTAAAAGTGGCATTCTGGGCATTGTAAAATTGATTGATAAAAGTGTGTTTATTTGTTTCAATTATGGCCTTTGAATCAAGTTTAATCAATGGTCCACACTTGCTATCCTTGTATTTCCTTATTGTCCAAACAAAATAAGGGATTAAATCAAAAGAAAAAAGAAATCAAATATGCAAGTTGACGCAGACCCACTGAAGGTCGAAGAAGCCTTGTACTCAGAGATGTATGAATGCATGATGGTCGAGACTACTGATGGTCCCGACAAGAAGTCTTAGGAGGAACTCAAGGCAGTTTACTCTCAAGATGGCGAAATCTTGACGGATTTCCAAGAGAAATGCAAGGTGAGTGGGTCGAAGGTTGTGTTATGTCCGAGATGCAACGTCGTCTTTGATGAAAAGGTTTCTGAGAAGTACGAAGTTGGTAAGAAAGTGGCACTGCAAGATGGTAAGTCACCGGTCCCAAGGCTTGTGTTCGACCAGAACGGTGTTTCTCGTCGAAACGAAGAGTAGAGGAAGTTGTTCCAGCAAGCACGATCCAAGACTTTTGTGCCACCATCAGACACTCCACGGGATAAATGGGTGGCACTCGTGAGTCAGAAGGGGAGCAAGAGGCTGAAATGGAAGGTGTTGGATCTAGAGAATGAGGCAAAGGTCTCCGATAAGAGGACTGAACCTCGAGGTTATGTGGTGTCCCCCAATTACAAAGGGAAGAATCCTATGGCAAGGACTCAGTGGAGGCGGTATCAACGAAATAAAAAGGCTGCCAAAGAGGTTTCAACTTCACAGTTGAAGCCTGTCGGGACTTCTGGACTGAAAAGGCAATACCCAAAAGCAAGGAGGGTCGAGAAGGAGAAAATCTTGACAAATCAAATTACAGCAGTGATTGTGGAAGCTTCAGAAGAAAAAGGGGTGGTGTCAAACCAGAGTTCGAAGTGAACATCTGGGGTCGAGAACAAGAAAGAACCAACATACATTCCCCAGTCAGATGAGGAAGAACCAAAGTACACTCCCCAATCAGATGAGGAATATACCCCATCACCAGAAGGCGACTTCGACGAGGATATGTATGACGACACCAATGATGACACATACGGTGAGGATTTTGTCGTAAACTGCGGCATCATGTCAATATTGCCGACAAAATATAATATGGTGTCGGAAGTCTCTGAAGCAGAGGAAGATTTCGTGCCAGATGAGACCATGGAAGACAAGCCACTATGCTATTATGTTATGAACAGTGACGTGGTAGAAGAACGAACAACCATGTTTGAAAGACCTGGTCCTGGAATGATGCCCCATTTAAAGTTATTATTCATAAAAGCAAAGGTCGACGGAGTGGCAGTCAATAAAGTGTTTGTGGACAGAAGGGCAGCTGTCAATCTAATGCCTCATACGTTGTTTAAGAAGATTGGGAAGACTGAGGCTGATCTCCGATAACATAACATGGTTTTATCTAATTATGAAGGAAAAACCAGCAACATTCTTATGGTTGTACAAGTCGAATTATCAGTGGGTACAACCACTCGATCAACGCTCTTCATGGTTATAAACTCAAAGGACAATTTCAACTTGTTGCTAGGTCGAGAGTGGATCCATGGGATAGGGGCAGTGTCGTCGACTTTACATCAGAGATTAAGCATTTGGAGAAAAGATGGCATCGTCAAAAATATTGAAGCTAATCAAAGTTATTATAAGATCGACGAAGCAAAGGGTATGAAGAAATCTTTTGACCAACACCTAGAAAATGTGGCACCTTGTGACGATGGATTAGGGTCTTACACCTCTGTCGATACGGGTCGCGTCCTAAATTTGGATCCTGATTATGGATTTATTTGGGATGCTGCTGACAAGACAATGGAGCCTACGGAAGGAAATCCACCCACAAGGTGGCCAACAGTCGATGAAAATGACTACTGAATCGAAGAGCTTGACTCGAATTTCGGCCTATTTGGCTGAAAACAAGAGAAATCAACACTAGAAGCAGAAGAACGACAAAATATAGCTAGTAAATCCGACATCAATGCATAGTTAAATGGCCGATAAAGCCAAACAATATCTCCATAAAGCCGGAGGATTTATTGCATCTATGACAATGAGCCTTTGGGGTTTGAGAAAGACCCGTCCATTGAGCTGCAGAGAACGTAAGCGCAAGACCCACTCGAAGAGATTGACTTAGAAGATGGGATAACAAAAAGACCTACTTACATGAGTATTAAAGTTGGGTCGAAGATGAAGGCCAAGCTGATCAAGGTATTGAAATAATATAAAGATTTCTTCGCCTAGGATTATGGAGAAATGCCTAGTTTGGGTTGAAGTGTGGTGGAGCACCGACTGCCAATTCAGCCAGGAAAAAAGCCAGTAAAACAGCAGCCTCGATGATTTGCTTCAAAAATCACTTTAAAGATCAAGCAGGAGATTGAGAGACTGCTCAAAAGCCGGTTCATCAGAACTGCAAGGCACGTCGAATGGATAGAGAACATAGTGCATGTTATCAAGAAGAGTGAGACTCTTAGAGTCTATATAGATTTCAGGGACCTGGACAACGTTACCCCAAAAGATGAGTATTCAATGCCTGTAGCAGAAATGTTGGTCGATTCAGCTGCAGGTTTCAAATATTTGAGTATGCTTGATGGGTATTCCGGCTATAATCAAATTCTCATACCCGAAGATGATGTTCCTAAAACTGTGTTCTGATGCCCTAGGGCCTTGGGAACATACGAATGGGTTGTGATGTCGTTTGATTTAAAAAATGCTGGAGCAACTTATCAAAGGGCCATAAATGTTATATTTCATGATTTTATTGAAAAATCCATGCAGGTGTACATTGATGACATTGTCATCAAATCCTCATCGGAGAATGGTCACTTAGACCACCTTCGACGTTCATTTGAAAGAATGAGAAAATATGGATTAAAAATGAATCCACTAAAATATGCTTTTGGTGTACATGCAGGAAACTTCTTAGGATTTGTAGTCCCCAAAAAAGGCATCGAGATTAATCAATACAAGACCAAGGAGATTTTGGATCTCAAGCCTCCTTTGACGAAGAAACAACTCCAGTATTTGTTGGGAAATATAAACTTCTTGAGAAGGTTTATATCAAATCTAAGTGGCAAGATGAAGGTGTTCTCGCCATTGCTCAAGGCCAAGAAGGAAAGTGATTTTCACTGGGGATGGAAGCAGCAGGAGGCTTTCGACGCCATTAAAGAATATCTCACAAAGCCTCCCGTTTTATCACCACCTAGTATGAATAAGAGCATGAAGTTGTACATTGTTGCGTCGGACGTAACCATAGGAAGCATGTTAGCACAAGAGGATGGTGGTAGCGTCGAAAGACCCATTTATTACCTTAGTCGAATGTTAATAGATGTTGAAACTAGGTACACTATGATTGAAAATTTGTACCTATGCTTGTACTTCTCATGTATGAAATTAAAGCAATATATTAAACCAGTTAATGTTTGTGTTTTGTCGCATTTTGATGTTATTAAGCATATGTTGTCTAAACCCATTATGCATAGTCGAATTGGGAAATGAGCACTAGCATTAACTGAATTTTCCTTGACGTATGTCCCTCTAAGTGCAATGAAAGGTCAAATAGTGGCAGACTTTATCGTCGACCACGCAGTAGTCGAACCATCATTGTGGATGGTCGACATTTATCCTTGGAAGTTATACTTCTACGGGTCAAGTCATAAAAAGGGAATAAGTATTGGAATCTTGATAATATCTCCACACGACGT